GGGGGGTTCAGGGTTTAAGGGTTTCTGTAAGGGTACCTTTAAGGGTTTCTATAAGAGTACTCTAGGGTTCAGGGTTTTGGGTTTAGGGGCTTAGCGATTCAGGGTTGAGGGTTTAGGGGTTTAGGGATTAGGATTTACGGGCTTAGGCTTCAGGGTTTATGGTTCAGGGGTTTGGGATTAGGGTTTGTGGGTGTTGGGCGACGTATGAGGGTTTAGTGGGCTTCTTTGTCATAGTTGGGTGACACTTTACATTCTTATGGGTACTTAAACTCAATAAGGAATAGAAATGTAGACTAATAATATCACAACCATGAACTAAGAATTTGTGTTATGGGGTTCAGGGTTTTGGGGTGTTGGGGCTTTATTCGGGCTCATGTGTTCTTGGCGTGTTCTTGAAGTACGGTTTCGGTTGTCCTTCTTCAGGCGGTTCTTAGTATGACGATGCCGCACACAATTCAACAAGGATTGGAACTGACCCCTACTGGCGCAAGGATTCCTGGTGGTAGGAGCCCAATTTTTCCAAAAGCTCGTTTGAGCAGGTTGCAGATCTCCATGCGAATTCGCCAGGGCAGTCACAGCGGCCTAGAAATCCATGCAAGTCTCATGTTCATCAGCACGTCACCCTGTCTTTGTGGACAGCTTCGAGACATGTATGGCGATGTGTTTTGAAGCTTCACTAAGGTCCGGACTTCTGCGAAGGCGAGCTATTTCTGCCAGCGCAGCTTCTGAACTGCTGTTAACGCTTTTGCGTTCCTATGGAAGCACCTGAAACCCAGAGCGCTTATTATAAACCCTAAACCCTGACCGTCTATGAGCACCGAGTGCCAGGAGTATGAGGTGGACATAGGGGTTCAGAAAAGATCATAACCCCACACCCTAAACTCCTAACACCCTAAACCCTAAATCCCCTAAGTCCTATAACTCCTAAACCCTAAAACCCTTAAGTTTTAACCCCTAAACACTAAACCTTAAAACCTAAAGCCATAAAACCCTAAAACCTTAAAACCTGAACCCATAAAACCCTAAAACCTTAAAACCTACAACCCTAAAGCCCTAAACCCCAAACCCGAGAGGCGACTTCCCGGTACTTCCAGCCGAGCTCTCCGGCCGTTGCCTGCGGCGCCTGGCGCCCTTCGGCGGTCGAAGAAAGGCCGAGGCGGACATCTCTTCTTAAAGGGCTCCTGAAAGGGTTTAGGGTTTAGGGTTTAGGGTTTAGGGTTTAGGGTTTAGGGTACCCTTTCAGGATTTCTTTGTGTAAGGCTTCAAAGGTTACTTTAGGGCTCTAGGGGCCAGGGTTTTTGGGGGTTTAGGAG